GGAATAGAAAAAAGGGCACAGATCCTGGGATTAAGAAACAGAACATGGTGATTAACAGGGTTTGGGAAATGAAGAAAGTGTCAAAACTGCTTTCCTCTGACCCCAACTTACCCTAAGATTTAAAGATTGAAAACTACAGAAATAAAGATGAGGGGTGCTTGGGTGGCTCAGTTGGTCGAGTGTCTGCCTTCAGCTCAGGTCATGATCCCAGGGTCCTGGGATCCAGCACCGCATCAGGCTCCCTGCTCAACGGGGAGCCTGCTTCTCTCTCTCCTCTCTGCTCCTGCTCTCTCTTGCTATCTCTTTCGCTATCTCTGTCACTCAAATAAATAAATAAAAAACCTTAATTAAAAAAAAGAAAGATGACACATGATCTAAGTCTTCCTAATTCTTAAAAACACCATTTTATTTCTCCCCCACGGACATGATGTAATACAGTACTGGGCTGAAAGAAACCCAGGCAGACGGTACATTAATTACCCAGCATCTCATTCCACGGCATCGTTGTTGGGGCAAGATGTTTAATAAAAAGCATTTAGTTAGACATCCAAGAGGCAATCTATTTCTATTTCTGCATACCAGGATTCAATTAGACAAAACAAACTTGCTCCACGGTATGAAACAGGGGAAAGAGCCACGGACTAAAAGCAAGGATGCCAGGGTTCTGGTCTCAGCTCTCAAACTAACTCCATTGTGTCACCCTAAGGCTCGTGACCTCCCTGGACATAGATTTCCTTATCTGCAAAACTGGCCCAGAGGGGAAGACAGACAAGGACTGGGTGTGATTTGTACTTGAGTTTAGCAGAGCCCTGGGATTCTGGTGAGGTACGTCAGGAGCCCCATGGAGGTAAGGAAGGACCTGAGTGGGCAGCTCCCATCCACCACCCACACCCCCCTCAACCTGAGAAGCTCCATTTTCCTATCCACTATATTGGGGATTGAGATGTCATTCAGTTTTCAATGTGATCCCACACTTTACCCTCACCACCAAGGGAAAATTACTGGCCTATATGCTTTCTAAGAATCATGTCCCTTAGGAGTCAGCTGGCTGATTCCCCGAAGAATGATAATACAAGTTGAGAGCTGCGTGAATCTGTAAGTTACCACCACTCTATAATCTTAAAAAAATTCACAGAAGTCCCAATGACACACACCTTTTTGGAATTTGAGTGGAAAACTAAAGTTTCGTTCCAGGAATAAACTTTGAGGCTGGATAGAGGTAACCAGAACTATTCGCCAATAACGCAAAAGGCTGCAAGTACTTACTTTAGATTAAAGTTTTGTTTTAAGGAGTAAGTATCACTTGTGTGCTAAAAGTTTCTTTTTAAAGAAAAATACTCTGAAGTACAAAAACAAACAAACCAAAACTCTGACAAGTGATCTGCCCACAGCTCAGAGCACAGGGACTGCGGTAACTTCCCAGGACTCCCTGACCTGAGAGGCTTCCTCAGGGCCTCTGGTCAGACTGACCAGCTAGCCAGTACCCAAATCTGACCTAATTTCACTAATGACCCACACTTTACAACTGCAGAAACTTGGATGCTCACCAGAAGCTTGGGTTAACTCTTCTTTAGAAACAGAAGAGAATGGGGTGATGGACGAAAACAAACACACTCTCGGGTTTTCCAAAGTTCATAATGCAATTTGTGGCAGATCTTGAGAAAATCAACTTACTGGATTTTTCTGTTTCATCTTAATTTGGGGACTATTTTCTACTAATTTAAATGTTATTAAAATAATATATGATGTCAATTTGTTATTCTTTTATACAGCATCGTAATGGGCTTGTGTGTGTACACATATTTTTGTTTCTGTTTTATAAATCTTATCTATGTGTACATGTCCCAACATAAACTGTATTTCTTTTTATAGTGAGAACTGTAAAAAAAAGTTTGAAAAGCACTGCTTTGGCAGATACTGGAAGTAAGAGAAGAAATTTGATTTTCAGTTTGATCTTAGAGAATTTTAGGAAGTTTGGTCTAAAAATAAAGAGTTGGGGGCGGTGGCGAGGGACCCAATATTTCCTGAGTAATGACCATTTTGTAGACACTGTGCTTGATCCCAGCTCACCCAACATGAGTTGGCCTTATGGGGGTGGGAGGGTGGGAGGTGTGACGGGCTCATCAGGAATTTTACCTGTCTTCTAGACAAAGAGAATTGAAGCAATTCCTCTAAAGTCACAGCTAGTAAGAGGCAGAATCTGAATTTCAACCTGAGAGTCCATCTAATTTGACTATTAATTGCAATTTCTTAGCTATAGGGGAAGGAGGAGGAGGGGACACTTAAATTGATTCTTTAAAGTTAGCTCTAAAAATCCTCCTTGGGTCTAAATCATGAGTATCATTATCACCATGGCTAACATTCATTAAGCCCTCACTTTGTTTCAGCCACTATCTTAAGTGCCTTAAAAATCTTCATTTCACTTAATCCTCATAAAATCCTTGAGATAAGTACTATCATCATCCCTGTTTACTGCAGGCTTTCAGCAGTTCAGTAACTTGACCAGAGTCACGCAAACATTCTGGATGCAAAATCCAAATGCATATTAAATAGCTGAATGCAGCTTTTTTTTTTTTTTTTAACATTTCCTACACACATTCGGGGAATATATAGCTAAAGTAGTTATTTCCTCTCAAAGTGTTAGAGTCTGAAGAGTTGAAATGTCAATTTTGCACCTATGAAATAAAAGTGACATTAGATGTTCACTTAGGACTTTTTTTGAATTCAGCATTCTCTGGTTCTAAAATAGGTCATGCAGGTAGGTTTCCAGTTAAAGAATGGCAGGAAACACGACAGTCTGTATAATTTTACCACTTCAGCATCCTGGTACTAATAATGCATGGCTGGTTCCTGAACAGTTGGAACTCCATTTTCTAAAGTCCCTGTCCAGGGGCGCCTGGGTGGCTCAGTTGGTTAAGCATCTGCCTTTGGCTCAGGTCATGATCCCAGGGTCCCAGGATCTAGTCCTGCTTCGGGCTCCCTACTCATCAAGGAAGCTGCTTCTCCCTCTGCCTGCCGCTCCCCCTGCTTGTGCTCTCTTGCTCTCTCTCTCTGACAAATAAAAATAAAATCTTAAAAAAAAAAAAGTCCCTGTTCATTTAGCAGTCTGCTTATTATTATACCCTTTGGTCATAATCACTGTATTTGAAAAATGTTCAGTGTTCAATATTCCTTATAAGAGTCAAATAGCTTTTAAAACATTATGCTGATGATTTAAGGATTAGGGTTTATATCCTAATAAGATTTTTGTCTGTAAGGCTTCCTTTCTTATTCTATTGACCCGGATGGGGGCTGGCTACAAAGTCCTAATCTGGGGATGAGGTGCTAGGAGGCAGAGGTGGGAGTAGACCTCCATTTTCTTGAAAAGGCAGCTCAAGCAGCTTCAGAAATCCCTAGCTGCTGTGGAATTTGAGCTAAACACATAAGGCAAAGGAGAGAGGACTGTGAGAAGCTGGGATGTTTAGGATTTTGCCGTCACAGTCTAAGCAGGTAACTGCTCTGGTGGAATTTCAGGCACTTCAATAGGTGAGGTTTAGTCCATTTCCTTGTGTATCATGTGCCCAACATCTACCCTTGTCAGTTTCAGATAACTGATGGGACACATAGCCCCCAGAAAATGGCATGAGCCAGAGGATCTTAGGAATACTGATTTTCCAGTTTTCTCACCCTTTTGCAATTCTCCGCCTTTTTTATTCTCAGCATTAAGCTTAAGCTACTGTAGAATCTTGTCTGAATGAGATTTAGTTACATCCGTGGGGTTTTCATGTCCTATCAAGTTGGTAAAAATGAAATTCTGCCCACACCTTCATATTACATCTTTTCCCTCAGAAAAATACAAGACTCACATTGGTCTGTGAGCAAACTGAGCAGACTTCCCTCTGACAACTTCGAGGTAAGAGAGCAGTTATTCCTAAAAGAGGGGGTGGGGAATGGTGAAATGAAAGACAACAGGATGGGGCGCCTGGGTGGCTCAGTCGTTAAAGCGTCTGCCTTCGGCTCAGGTCATGATCCCAGGGTCCTGGGATTGAGCCCCGCATCGGGCTCCCTGCTAGGCGGGAAGCCTGCTTCTCCCTCTCCCACTCCCCCTGCTTGTGTTCCCTCTCTCGCTGTGTCTCTCTCTGTCAAATAAATAAATAAATAAAATCTTAACCAAAAAAATCCTTAAAAAAAAAAAAAGACAACAGGACAGAATTTCCAAGGGAACTCACACGGTTCTGTTTGCAAGGTGGCACTACATCGTAACTGAAAGGGGCTGCAAGCCCTGCACAGTCAGTCACTCAGCTGTCCTTTCCTACTTGATTTTACTCCTGCAGATACACACTCCTGTCACACTTCCAAGAGATACACTGAGACACAAAAACCATGCTTTCCAAAGCAGACAGGGTGGGAGGGTTAAGAGAAGGGAGGGGACGGGGGTGGGTGGTTGGGCACCTGATGGGGAGAGAACTGAGCAAGGGATAAAGTTAGGAAAGTGGGTGGATACAAAGAAAGTAGAAGAAGATGACACTGAACATGATGAGCAAAGAGACACATGGTTCAGTCCTGTAAAATAGGTTCTGAATCATTTCGAACATCCCATGATACTGAGGACGCGTTATAACCTCCCAGGAGCGACATAAATGCATTTCCGTCACCATATTGAAAACCTAAAAGCAAGCATCAGATGAAAGGGCAAAGTAATGAGGGATCAAAAGAGTTGTGCTTCCACGTTTATCAGTGCAGCTTTCGAGACCAAGAAGTGCCCAAAGACTGCAGGAGGGAGGCCCAGAGGCTCTGGGTTTCTTCCTTAGTTGCACCTGTTTCGGAAGGGCCGGGGCTAAGAAAAGAGGAAAACAACAGGTTCCCTCCCACAGGCAGAAACTCGAGCCTGTGCCAAGAGCTACCAGAGCGCGGCCCAGGCCTCCACTGGCCTGCCTGTGACCAGTTCGGCAAGGCCAGGCAACAATGGCTTCCTGTCTCCCTGGGCCCAGGGGGAGACCCAACTTTTTCCGAAGGCTCACCTGCTGGGAGCCCGGTGAAGAGCAGCAGCCAAGGCGCAGGCAGCTTAAGGCCCATGCCGGCCGCTCTCTGGCCCCTGCCAGCTCAGGGGCTCGGGGGGCACTGCGTCTCTCTTCAGCAGCGGCCGCTCCAGGACGCGCCACTTCTCCGAGGAATCCCTCCGCCTTCCCCTCTCTCGGCGCCGGGCGAGCGGAGGGCCGGCCGCGATCCCCGAGCAGGTACGGCCCCGGCTCATCCCCACCTGAGCGCGCCGGCGGCTCCGCCTCCCGCCCCGCGCACCGCCCTTTCCTGCTCCGCCCCCCATCCCGGAGGACCGTGGCCACCTTGCCTAGCGGCCAGCGCCTCCTCCCCAGGCTGCCAGGTAATTCGTCTCGCTGGAACCGCGTCTCTTGCCACACCCCTCCCGCCTCTAGAGAACGTTACCATTTTTTTTCCCCCAGAAGTTCTTGGGGAAACTTATCCCTAGCAAACTTCTTCCTCTCTTTGTAGAATTACGTGGATATAACTTTCTGGGGTGTATTTCCTACGTTATCTTTCCATCCCCTCATATATGCTCGGAAAACTTTTTCCGCCCACTAAAAACACACCAACATGAAGTTTGCACGTAACGTCTGCTCAGGTTTTCTAGAAACTAAAGATGTACAGTATAAACTAGAGAAACATTTAATTTTCCACAAATATTAAAGTCATAGATGCTTATTATAGAAAAGTTAGAAAAATATAAATTATTGGAGATAAGAAAAAATCCTGCTCCCACCACTCATAGTTAGGCATTGTTAGTGTTGATGTATTCCTTGTTCTTAGTTTCCATCCCGCGTGAAGTGCAGCTCAGCAGCCCCTCACGGAGTCAGCCCTCCCAATGGCAAAGATTCTAGGTCTCTTTGCTCCAGGACAACTAGGATATAATCCAGTCTCTCCTTCCTTGGTAGCAACCCACGGGGAGGGGTAAAACACACTTGCCTTCAGGAACCAACCAACCAACCACATGAACTCGGAAAGTCACCTAAACCCTGGTCAGTGTAAATAGCAAGATATTTTATACACCTCTCCCTTATTAGGGATTATTCATTGTGCTCTCTCTCCTAGCCACCATCTTTTTCCTCGAGAAAAGAATTACAAAGATGCATTAAACATGGTTTCTGCCCCTCAGGAAGCTCCCATTCTCATCACTGCCCTTGGAAGGCAATATTATTTCTCTTACGTATGTCTCCTGACCTGCTCTGCTGTAAAGGGTTCTCTTTGTTAGAGCTACTGGTGTCCCCCATCTCACTTCCTCCCAGAGGAACATCCTTGTCCTGAAACTGATTGGAGGTCAACCCAGTCCCTTCTCCCAATTTCCCCTCTTCCCCCTGAGTCTGGCCTCTAGTTCCCCAATTGGGCCTCTCCACTTTAAATGTTTTTCCTGTAGCCTCTTCTCTTCAAGAAAGTAGGAAGTGAAATCAGGCAGTACATGGCCAAAGGCAGATGGTACAGTTATGTTCAGGGGCCTTTAGACCTTCCACAGTGGGATCTCAGCACGGCAGCTGAAGCAGGATATGATGTGTGGGATGCTCCCCTAACCCCCTCCAGAGACTGTACACTTTGCTCCCAGGAACATTGTATGTATTTGAGTGTTTGTGACCCTGAGGGATTTGTGTGGCCCCTGGATTTGTAAATTACTCTAGACGAATTCTCAATCCCAGTCTAAAAAAGTATGAGCCCTCTCTTTCCCAACCCTACCTCCCATGGCCCTCAGCCCTTGTTTTGATATAAAGGTCATTTTAATACTCATCAGAAGCCAGCATTTCTCCATGTTTATTCCATGGCATGTTAATAAACAGCATATAGAAAAAAGGCTCTGTGATCAAATTCAAGAAATGCTGGATTAAACTAAATGAAACATTTTTGCATCATTTCTCAAGCCCTTAGAGTGCTACTATACATTTGGAATTTCTTCTTTTTTTAAGATTTTATTTATTTATTTGATAGAGAGAGAGAGAAAACACAAGCCGGCAGAGCGGCAGGCAGAGGGAGCACAAGCAGTGGGGAGGGGCAGAGGGAGAAGCAGGCTCCCCGCTGAGCAAGGAACCCCATGCAGGACTTGATCCCAGGATCTGGAGATCATGACCTGAGGTGAAGGCAGACTCTTAACCACCTGAGCTAGCTACCCAGGCACCCTTACATTTGAAATTTCTAAGGAAATAAGTCATATAGCATTTTTCAACATTATTCAACCCCAAAGCCCTTTTTCTTACACATATCTTAGGGCAGATGTTTCATGGAACATATTTGGGGAAGTCCTGGAAGTCTAAACCCAACATAACTGGAGGCATACATTGAAGGCTTCTATAGGAACAAAATATGACTTTTACAAAGTAGAATTAAAAAGTGCAGTAGAATTAAAATGGCCTTATTTTTTCTTGGGATTACTCATTCAGTTGAACATCTACCTCTTGGTAGATGGAGTGAACACATAGATTTCTTGGAGTGAACACATAGATTATATATTTCTCTGCCTACTACATGCATCTTTTTCGTTCACCACTTATATTCTGTACCAAGCAATGTTCTAAGTGCCTTATATGCATTATCTCATTACACTTCTACAATATATATAATAGGGACTGTTTTTCTGTTATTATCAATTCCAATGATAATAATGTGGCCGCTGAGGTACAAAGCAGTAACTCGCCCAAGGTAACAAAGCTAGTAAGTGGTGGAGTTATGAATCTCAGTGAGGCAGTCTGACTCCAGGCCTTCTGCTGTTAGCTTTACACGATACAGTCTCACCTAGGTATGCCTCAATCTGAATTTACAGCTAGTTGACTCTACTGTAGTTTGTCTTCACATAGATCATTTAGCTCTCCATGAAGTAAAACTCTTCCACTACTGTGAGCTTTCCTGGACCAGTTATTCTGCCAACATATGCCCTTCGTTCAATAAAGATTTGATAAGAATATACACTTGGCTCGGAATAACAAACAGTTCTTTTATTGCTCAATATAGATGTAAAAATCACTTGACCTGCTGATAGGGACTGAGATGAAACTGTCTCCATATACAAAGTAACAATAGGTACCATTTATTAAACACTTATATTGTGCTAGGCACTATTCTCAGCACTTTTGTATTAACTTCAATAATTCTCCCAACAACACTGAGGCAGGGATTATTATTGTCCCCATTTTACAGCTGAGGAACTTGAGGCACAAAGGTCCAGTTACTTACCCAGGGTCACCCAGCTTGTAAGTAGCTAAGCTGAGATGCAAATTAAGGCAATCTGCCTTCAGAGGACACACCCTTTATTACTACCCTAGCCATACTGTATTTCTTTGTGTTCACTGGTCCAGAGTCTAACCACAAAGTACAGAGATTATGGTTTCATCATTTATAACCACACTTTCTAGTCAAAACTGTCCATAAATATTACTGAACACTGTGTCTATATATGCATGTGCATCTCTTCTTAAGAATAGTGTGATATTTGTACATCTAACTGTGTATTTATCAAGAGTGAAAGAGAGAGGGGCACCTGGGTGGCTCAGTCAGTTAAGCCTCTGCCTTCAGCTCAGGCCATGATCCCAGGGTCCTGGGATTGAGCCCCACATCGGGCTCCCTGCTGAGCCGGGAGTCTGCTTCTCCCTCTCTCTCTGCCTACCACTCCCCCTGCTTATACTCTCTCTCTCTCTCTCTGTCAAATAAATAAATAAAATATTTTTTAAAAGAGAATGAAAGAAAATAAGCATGTAAGTAAAAATGCTGCTCCAGGCAGTTAAACCTAAAGGGAGGCAAAAAATGAAAGTAACTAACTGATGCCACAACATTTGGAACACATCTTATTCATTTTGTATGTCTGGCATCTAGCATAGTACCTGGCATATAGGTAGTGCTCAATAAATATTGTTGAGCTCTTTATCCATAGTTCCTGAAAGAAGTGACATGTGAGCTGAATTTGAAAGTGAACAAGACTTTGCCAAAGCAATCCAAACAGAGAGACTATGTTCAAAAATCATAGCACCAGGGAATAGCACAGCTGAACTATAAGCACTTCAGTTTCGCTAGGGCAAGTGGGGAGTGGTAGGAAAATATGTTAGAGAGCCAGGGTAAATAAAGGGCCTTGCATGACCAGCTGGAGAACTAAGACTCCATACAATAGACAATGAGGAAGCTGTGAAGGGTTTTAAGCTGTATGAGGCATGATCAGACTTGCATATTAGGAAAATAAATTTGACAGCAATGAGAAGAATGGTAAGCAAGAATTGAGATGAAATTGGAAAGATGAGTTAGGAAACTGTTACTGTGGTCAAGATGGAAATACTGAGGGCTCAACCCAGTCATTGGTGTTGAGAGTGGAGAAGAGAAAATACTTTGGCAGATACTTAGAATGTGGAATTGACAAGACTGATGGTAAATTAGATGTGGGAATTGAGTGAAGAATATAGGTTTCTGATTACTGAGTCTGTGTGGATGGTGATGCCATTAAAGAACACAGATATATAGAAAAGTTTTGAATCATTTCAGACACATTGTATCTGAAAGAATAGTGGAGTATCCAAATGAAACTCCTCTGGATGTTTGGACACCTTTATTAAGTGCAACTGGTTGAATGAGGTTGGTAGGAGCTGCATGCTTGATAAGGGAGGTCTAGGTCAGTAGGGACTGGGAGACCTACTTTTTGGTCAATGGGATATAACCCAAGATACAGTTCATCTTAGAGTAGGGCTAAAAGCAGGAGGTGGTGGAATCTAGTGAAAGGAGTTTGGGAACAAATTTGCTCATTATTACTACTCCTATTCAACATTATGCTGAATCTTCTAATTAGCACAATAAGAAAATTAAAAGGCCAAAAATGAAGAATAAAGATGTTGCTATTCACAGTGTTATGATTACACGGACTACTGAAAAGAATCTATATATAGAAGGACTAACGAGAGGTTGCTGAAAACAAGGTCAATATGTTAATGTCACTGGCATCTGTATATATCAGTAATATCCATTTTGAAGATATAACTTTAAAAAATATAATTGTAATAGCAGTAAATCTATAAAGTGAATAAATTTAACAATATATGTGAAATAGCTCTACGGAGAAAATTGTAAAAAGTTAATGAAAACAGTTT